GTTGTCAATGGGGCAGAGAGAAGACAACAACTATGCTGAAAGTGCCCAGGTTATTAAAGCCTCATCCCCTTTTCATGTGTGTGTTACACAGTATAAGCATGGGAAAAGGGGAGGTATTTGATAGCATGATCATGTTCATTATTTTGACACTGTGGACCTACTGATGAATGCATGCGTGTGCATGCGTGTGTGCATATGCTTATTAGTCTGGCCAATCTGACTGTTAAGGGTGAGAGTCCAGGTTGATGATCAGTCTAAGAAGGAAAAGTAATCTTTGGGTCTCCTTCTTTGCCTCTGTATCTGAAGGAAGGGAAGTTTTCTGCTTTCTTCACAGCAAGGCTTCCTCTAAAAACAACAGGTAGAATTTACATCAGGAGAAAAGTCTTCTGGAATGTCTGTTGTTATTCCAATGCATTTTATCATATGACATTACATTTATAGCTCCTCACCTTCAAATAACTTGGGTAAATCTGAAACATCTGGCACCAAAAGACACCTTGGGCTTCTTCACTACAATTGGAGAGAATGCTATACTTTAATTTAGATGCACAGTGCCCATTAATCCTGAATACTTTAGGCAGGACTGAACAACAATTATAGAAAAATTAGACATACTAGCGTGAAATAATGATACTTGGTACTCTTGATTGAAAAACAGGCTTGTTTTATATAATTTCATATAGTACACTTTTACATCAGAGTAAGCAGTTACTTTTCCATCAACCTCCATGTCCTTCCTCTCTGAAAGGACAACACAAGAATGTACCAAGAAGTAATGGTGAGAAGCTGGGTTGTTCAATGTAGTTTTTCCTGCAAACATGAAACAGTTATGCCAAATTGGCCTAAAGCCCATGCCAGGCCTTCTGCTGCATTATGAGAATTTCATTCCAAAAGTGTTCTAAGAGGCAATTTATTGAGTCAAAACTTTTCTGTAGAAACTGTTTTTTCTTAAGTTGAGACGAGAGCAGAATTTGGATGATAGGCAAAGTTTTGAGGCACTTTGTCTATATGTTCTAAGTATTAGAAACAGAATGGGAGAGTTAAAGCACTGGGTCTTGCAATCATGATCAGAAAAACCTATGTGGAAAGAGTGAAGCTATGGATTTTAAGTGGACCATATAGAAAGAATACTGAAATTGCTAATGCCTTAAACTAGAAGAGTGTTCTGCTCTCTATTAGTTGGTTTTTCAACTTTGGTAATAACTCAGCACTAGAATGAATGAAAAAGAGTTTGGGACATTGGTTAAGAATGCCCTCATGTGGCAAGAGTTTTCCCTCATATTGTCAAGACGCAAATGTTTCCAAGTGGATAGTTTTTAGTGCTACTTCTGTAATACTTGGTGCAGGTATTTCAGCTTTTCCTCCAAACACACTTTGGAAGAAAGGGAAAAGAATATAAACACAGTGGGAAAGTACTCTGGCATTTTACATATGGTCCTATATTTGTAACATTTGATGTTGGAGAAGACTCCTGAGAATACCATGGACAGCAAAAAAAAGAATGGATCATCAAATAAATCAACCCAAAGCAACTCATTGGTGGCACAAATGATCAGGCTCAAATTATCCTACTTCGGACATATTGTGCAAAGACCAGTACTCTGAAAATAGCTCCAATATTGGGAAAGGAAGGAGGAAAGGATGATCAGCAGCAAAGCAAATAGACATTGTAGCAATGAGTGTACTATTGGGAGACCTGAAGGACCAAGTTGGGGACAAATTGTCGTGGATAAACTTTATGCTGTCACTAAAAGTTGAAAAGTATTTGATGGGGCATAACCAATAAGAATATGTTTTGTAGGAAGAAAAGATTCTGACCACTGGACCTCATGAAGTCTGTGAAGCAGAGTAATTGTATGATACAATTCATTTGTGGAAGCAGACATTATCACAATAAATTTAACTGCAGTAGTATGTATCTTCAGAAAGAACACACAGACTCATGATTATGCAGAGATGATTAATTCATTTAATGATTTTAAGGTATTTTAATAGTCCAGCCATTATTAAGGTCTGTAATTTTTTTAGGGATACTCTTAGCCCTCTCTTTGGAATTAACATAGTTTCAAGAAAGCAATGCTACATACACATCCGGAAATCAGTCCCACTGAAATTTTTGATCATTCTGGAGTACAGCTGAGGGTGGGAATGGTTGATTCTTGTATGTTCCATTTTCTGGATCTGAATAACTTTTTTTAATAATACCTACAACATTTTTAAAGCTGCTTTAAAGACTCTTTTGTGGTGGCAGAGTAACTGTATGTCTGGATTTTCCAGGACATAGCTGGATTCCACTGCTGATTGCCCCATCTGGTCAAGAATAACAAAATTCCTCAGCTGGCTCAGATGGGGTTACCAGAGTTGATGGCAGTGGCACCCAATGCAGTAGAAGTGTCTTGCTCAATAGTCAGGAGGGCATTTCCCAGCTGTTGGAAAATAGCAAGGCCAGATGCCCTGCTCTGATTGTATTTCGGTGGGCAGAAAGGGAGCAGTCTGTAAGCAAGTAAATTTATTTATCTCATTTACAAGTTGTTGCGGTCCCAACATCCCACACATAGAGAGGGCCCCCTCCAAAATATGGCTCAGTATCAAAATTATCAGAACATGTCACTCAAGGGAATAACATTACTGCAAATTTTAACCAAGCACTAAGAGATATAACTGTTTACCTCTTCCACGAAAATCAGTACTCTTCCCCAGTAAGATGGGAGAAGAGATTCAGACTGAGAGACTGAAAACTGCCCATCAAATTCAGCTAAAGCTAAGATGATGGCAGCAGCCCAATTTTGTTTGATTCAGAAACTTAAACTGAGTTATGCTGTTATGCCTTGTTAGTAAAGATAATCAACTTACAACCACAACTGAGCCCAAAATTTCTGTTAAGTGAGACATTTTAAGTGACTTTTGCCCCATTTTACCATTCTTACCATAGCTGTTAACAGAATCACTGCAGTTGATAAGTTAGTAACCTGGTTGTAAAGTAAATCTGGCTTCCCCATTGACTTTGCTTGTCAGAGGGCTGCAAAAGGTGATCACATGACCTTGGAACACAGCAACGGTCATAAATGTGAACCAGTTGCCAAGCCTCTGAATTTTGATCACATGATCATGGGGATGCTTCAACAGTCGTAACTGGAAAATGGTCATATGTCACTTTTTTCAATGCTTTTGTAACTTTGAACGGTCACTAAATGAACTGTTGTTAAGTCGAAGACTACCTGTACTTGGATAGGAAACCACCAAGAAATCCTAGATCCGTTTGCAGACTAGAGCGGGAGGTTGCAAAACCTCTTAGATTTAGACGAATGCAACAACAGGCCCTTTCTCTAACATCATCGAGAAACCTACATTGCGTTCGCGAGCACCCGCACCCTTCCCAACCACGCAAAGCGTCTGGAGCTACAGTACCCGCCTCTGCTTCCCCGAAGGTCGAAAGAGGGGCGGCCGAAACAGCCAGGAGGGCCCGGCGTCTCTTCCCACTAAGACACCCAATGCTTGGGCGCTCTTGGCTGGCTGGAGCTCCCGCGGGATCGGGTGCGGAGGAAGAGGGCGAGGAGCCGGGCAGAGGCAACCGGCTGGCGACAGAGGCCTGCTGAGTGGATGGCGCGAAGTCGGACTTCATCCTGCAGGAGGCCGGCATGCGCCGGAGCTACAGGCTCAGCTCCGGGACGCACAGCTGCTCTTCGGGGCCGCGTTGCCACCAGCAACGCCATTGAGCAGAACATCTGATGGCGGATTTGGACGCAACCAGCGAGAGACCGGCGAGGACAGGAACCGCTGGCTGGGCCCAAGGCCGCCCGCTCACGCCATTCCTCCTGAGGGTAGCCAAACGGCTCTTCTGTGGCGCGCGTCCCCTGGACACGTGACTGAGGGGCACCGTGGAAGTTGGGGCAGCTCCCTCGAGCGGTCAGCGTTTCTCACCAAGAGTGAGCCTTGGATTGCAATGGGGCAGGGACGGCCTTGCCTCTCTCCTGGCCGCTGTTTTGTGAAGTTCGCCATCCTCTTTTACTGGGAGCGTGAAATAGTTCGTGACTTCCAATCCGGGTGTTATGTGGCAGGTGCCTGCCTGCTTGAATTCTAAAGCCCTCTTGACTAGAGGACTTTTAGGTTCTTCATTTTCTGTTGCTTTGTCTACTTTGTGGTCTCACCAGTTCTTGCTTGAAGGCAAATGGTATTTCTTGCAGGTGTTCAGTGCACCATTGTTTGTACTTTGTCATATTGTTGTTTGTGGACAGTCTGCTAATTAGGCGATCTACTCTTTCTCTGGTTTCTTTGCAGAGGTGGCAACTGCTGTCTGTTTTTATTCCTATTAATTATCCTGCCTTTTAAAATATAATTCGAAGTGGCAAACATACCCAACATTCCTGCCTCCTCTGCAATGGTCACTCTATCCAGAAACATGGCTTTGTTTCAGAAGAACAGCCTAGTTAACTTCAAAGGCCATCATCTCTGGCCAGTTGCAATGTCAGCTACAGATTATGGGAGTTGAAGTCTAATGCATTTGGAGGGAGCCAGGATTAGGAAGGCTGTTCCAAAGTGAAAGAGAAAATCATATTTGGAAATTCTGCAAGAAAAGAACAACTATTAAAATCTTAAGACTTGAGTTGAAACTTTTTTTGAACACCAAAGCTTTTGATCCAAACGGAAATCGACATTTCTATGGCAACCAGACTTTTGTTCAGTATTTAAGATATACTACATGGGATGACCTGGCATATAAATTAATTAAGAGGAAATTTTATATTTTAAGAATCAGCAAAACATACTTGCCATTGATTCAAAACATTATGGCTCTTTGTTCCCCTCCCTGTGGATACCCTCCTCAATGCATTGGAACAATGAACATACTTGCTTTCTCTTCTCCTTGTCAAATATTAACATTTTCCTTTATCAAGTTCTTAATTGTTGGCAAAGGAAAGTTTATTTCTCCTGCTCAAAAATTATTCTAGGAGTATCTATCCACTAACTACAGAAGTAGAAGAAATACACGCATACACATATAGCAGTAACTTAATCAGTATTTACAACTTTAATCTACATTGTAACGGACATTTTGCAAAGCAAATGTTTGCCATTCTGGTTAGAATAAGAGACAGCGGTGCAACGTTGCCACAATTCAGCAGCCATTCCCATACAGTGGGAATATGGTTTGAGCAAAAGGGCTGACTCCGTTAGCTTCTTCCTCCAAAAGTTTCTTTCAGGATTCAGAAATGGTCAAATGCACGGAGAGGATGTCTACATTGTGGTGCTTCAGCATTGCTAAACACGTTGGTTTTGCAGAGCTCTGTGCAACATCAAAAGGCATATGCCCAATGCATGGCATCTTCAACTGAGTGAACACATTTTCCCAGCTGCTGGAAACCATGAAGTTAGTAGGCATCATAGCACATAGTGGCCTTTTCATTTTCTTGCACAGGAATTGTCTTTATACTCTGGTTGAAGCATCATGCATTTGTCTTGCTTCCCAGGCTTTCTCTGTGCTCCAAATAATTTAAATACAGCTTTTGCAGATACAAAGTTAATATCCCTTCAACAGGTGGGGAGGAATAGGTGGGACTATCCAACCTCATCACACTAAATCTTGTTGATGTTTGGAAAGAACAATGAGATGTAGTGGCAGATTGATAAATTGGGTCTTGCAACAGGAATGTGTAAAACGTACTATTCTGCAACAGCTTCTAAACTACACTATAAATGACTTTCTGTTCTGGAAATCTATGAGATTGCCCTAGAATGGCCAGACTGACATAGTTAGGAAGAAAACAAAAACCTTCAGTGTTCTCTGCAACATTCCAGCAGCAGAATGATAGATTTTACACATAATAAAATGCAGATAGAGCCTCAATAAACAGCAAGGACTTCCAGGAGAAATAGGCTAACTGCATAAAAAATAGGCATCCATTTCTTAATAGGCGTTCCCATGCCCCAGGAGTACAATTAATTGATCAGAGGCAAATCTGAGAGGCTGCATTCAGGACAAGTAAAGGGGCTAGCTAACATTAGCTAATCTTTCTTAGTGAAAAGAAAGGAATCTAAACTGAGTTAGAATATTATGAAAGAACATATATTTATGTACGTGAAAGGGGTCTCACCATGGGAGAAAACTTTTTTTTTTTTCACATAAGATTTGAAAGAAATTCTTGCAGTTACTTTTGGGCAGTGACTATTAACAAAAATAGCAAGTATCCTAAATGATATTGCCCTCTCTTCACATTTGCATAAAAACAAAAGTGAAAGATGCTGGTTGATGAGTTCCAAGATTTAAAATAGAAACCATGGAGAATGCCCAGATTGGGGAAGGCTGTGTTAGTTAGGAATGCTGGAAACTCTAGATCAGGGGTAGGTAATCTTGGCTCTTTTATGACTCGTGGACTTCAACACAAGTCATAAAAGAGCCAAGGTTGCCTACCCCTGCTCTAGATCAACCCATTTGGATGTTGGTGGGAAGGATTTATATAGAAATGGAACTAACCAGGAAAGGATGGACTAAGATTTCAACACTCCTCCAAATGGCTATCCAACTACCATATCTGTAGTTTAACCAAGGCATCTCCCTAACACTGTTGCTGAACCATTTTGAAGCTTGTTTAAATTCTGAAGTGCCAGTTCTTGGCAGGTTCTTTTTGTTCCTTGATTTACCTTGGGAAATGATTTATTTAGAGTGAATTAACAGATATATATATGAACTCATAAGATACCTCTGGCATTAGTAAAGAATTCAAAATCCGATTTAAATGCTTACTTTACCTTTTCAAATACCGAGATTTCATATTAGTGTCAGGGCAGTTTATACTGAAAGGTATAAACAGTGAAAGGTTAACTCTCATTAGATTGGTCCAGAATGCACAAGAGAAATTTCAAAATGCTTTTCAATACAGTAGAGAAATCATTTAAATAAATCCCTCTGAAAATTGAAATTATGCTCAACAGAGAAGAGTTACTTTTGTCACCCTTTTTTTTTTCTTGGAAAAAACACAGAAAATCTGTACTTTCACTTGCAGATGAAATGCCAGCAGTTTGATATCTGTATCTTCAGATGATATTGGACTTATTATTCTGTGCCGTGGAGCATGAAAGACAATGTGTCTTCTCTACTCCTCATCTTTAAACAAGTCTTTTTAGGCTCACCTACTTTTCCTATGTATTAATTGCACTTACAGCTTTATTTGGAAATATTTATGGGCTTTCAAACAGCTTCTCTTCCAGATTCTGATCATGATCTACTTAATGTAAGGATCTTTATCAGCACCAAATATCTTGGGACTTTCAATATGTATCTTAGGCCTCAGGGCTTCCTTAAGACATAAAACATCACCTGGAAGTTATGAAGAATGGGTCTAAAATTGACCCTCCTGGCTATTTAGTGAAAGACAGCTTCATTTAATTCTTTGCAACCCCTCAGAAGCAAACTGCCTACTCCCTACTCCCTCTGAAAAGTTTGGTTGGAGAGAGGGCAAATCTGTCAAATTACATGTATGGTGCTTGCACCAGCTTTGTGCACTTGCATTTGTAATGATCAGCTACTTCTTGAACTATATAGAAAATGAGGAGGATAAGGCGATTCTCTCAATATCTAGGATGAATGGAGAAAAGAATTAAAAGTCACAATGCTTCCTACCATGCAGAATAACTAAAAAAAAAAAAAAACACTGGAAAATACTGACACAGGCTGGAGTTTCAGGATTGTAGGAGTCCCCCTACAAGTTCTGTAAAAAGGGAGTTAGCAGCCCCAGAGAGAAAGGCTTCTTTTCATTAGTCCTCCAAGATTCTTCTCAAGTAGTAGGCTGTGTGTGTTGCGGTGGGATGTATGGTGGGGGAGCTGCAGAAGAAAGAAACTGACCATTAGAATAAGCTTAGCAGCACCTTGCCAATCTTTGCTGATCTTTTAAAAATAAAGCAAGGTCAGACTTTAGTGCTTGGATAGGAAACTAGCAGTCAGTAAATTGCCATGCACTAAGTTGAACTTGAAGCAGATTTTTACAGAAATGCCAAAGGTGAAACTGGGTCTAATTCAAGGTTAGATATTCTCCACATATATGAGGATTATAAAGTTACCATACTCTGGCCTGCAAAAATCCAGACAACCTCTAGGTGATAGCAAAGGAAATTCTTTGCTGTCATCTTCTAGTGGTCATCATCTTTGCAGCCCTATATAGATAGAAGTCCTAGAGAAATGTCATGTCATATTTATATATCTTTTATTCTGTTACATTGCTACATTTTATGTTAGTATAGTATTAGGGGATAAAGCCTCTTATTTTGCCTTGCTTTACTCATGGCCATCTTGGATTTTAGAGGACAAGCCTACCTCCATGTTTTTCTTTCTTCTTGTTCCTCTAACCTTAATGTTCCCTCCCTGCTTTTCCACTGTTATTCCAATACATCTTCAACTTTAATCAATCTTTCCCCTACCAATTAAGAGATGCTCTAGAGCAGTGGTGGCGAACCTATGGCATGGGTGCCAGAGGCGGCACTCAGAGCCCTCTCTGTGGGCAAGCATGCCGTCATCCCAGTCCTAGACCTTCAGCTGGGTTTTATAAAACCTTTTCGCTTTAGGCCTCCGCCGCCATGTGCAAAAAAAAAAAAAAAGGTTCAATCGGTCAATTTCAACTTCTCGCAGGAAAAAAAAGATCTTGCAAAGTTGGAATTGATTGATTGAACTTTTTAGTTCCACCCAGTCTGCCGTTACTACCGCAGCCACGCCCAGCCAATGGGCCACGCCCAGCCAATGGACCACACCCAGCCAATGGACCATATCCACCCGGCACTCGACGATGCATAAGTGGGTTTTGGGTTGCAGTTTGGGCACTCAGTCTCTAAAACGTTCGCCATCACTGCTCTAGAGATTAAATCTCTCACATGAAACTCAATTAAGTCTTACCATTGCCTAACCAAAAACATGCATTGATAGAATTTCTTCTATCTACGCTTACTAAGACTTGTTTGGTGCCTATGACGTAATGAGTACTGTGGATCATTTGTGCATGATATTTTCTTAACAGTATTTCTCATAATTCTTAAATGACATTTCGAGAGTTCATACTAAATATGTCTGCACCATACCTGGATAGGAAGTTTATCATTACTTTATACTCTTTTCTCACCTGAAGGATTGTAGTATGGTGGCCCGGGTGGATATAGAGGATACTGTGCTGCTGGAACTGTAGGTGGGTAGGGAAACACAGGTGCATATCCAGGATGAAATGCTGGCCCTGCTTTTGGATCCACATGATAAGGGTCTGGAGGCTGATCAGGATAACCAGAAAGTGGAATCTCCTGACCTGGATTTGACAAACTTTTGTGAGTGCATGGTCTGCATTGATAGTAAATCTGTGCAGCAATCTGGATTTGAAAGAGAAGAGGTGACTTGGAGCATGCATGGATATTGGCATCACATCTGTTGGAAGCTGTTCCCAGCCTTATAACGCAATCCCAGGAAATGACATGTTTGATTTAAGGAGATGCCAGTAGGTATAATCTGCTCACTGGTGTGCATCACCTTTCCTCCTTTGAATCCAGCTCACCAGAAACATTATTGAAAATTCTCCATATTATAAGGTAGCCTTCTCCAATTTGCCAGTTTGTAGTCCAGATGTGTTGGATTGCAGCTCCAATCATTTCCTAGCCAGCCTGACTCTGGGAAAGATTCTCCATCAGAATGCTCATATAAGCAGCATAAGCCTAATTGCAAATATAGTATTATATCTATGAGAAAGACGATTTTGGTATAAAGCCCAGTATAGCTGGCAAAATCAAGAAAACAAGAATGAAATAGATTATGTCTTAAGATAATGCTATTCTGAAGTAAAATGCAGGGCTCTGGAATTATAATAGGAAATTCCCAGTTTCCTATGTAGTGAGAATTACAGTAGAAGCTGCTTGAAGACTTTTCCCCAGGTCTCCCCTTCCCACCTTGAGCTGAATTGCTATTTATGACATTATTAGTCAACTAACTCTCTCTCCAGCATTCCCAGTTCCCCCTCTATCTCTCCCAGGAGGCCACAACAGAAGGGCTTTTTCTACCTTGATAAGGAGTCTGCATGTGATGCCGTCGCTGGTACAAGTAGCAGCAGGAACACAGGAAGCAGCAGACGATGGTGGCAACAATGGCCACAAAGAGAATCACAGCTGAAGCGATGCCAGCAATGGTCCTTGGCCTGCAGAGCACAGACAAAGACAAGTGGATGTTGTTCATGCTATAGAATCTGCCACTGAAACAGATACTAATGACTCCTTTACACGACAGGGATGGATGAATTCTCAAAAGTCCAGTCACTTCTACTGCCCACCTTCACAAGGTATCTTTGGGTCCAGTTAAAAAAAACAAAGAAAAAAAATCTGTCAAATATGGCAAAGAACTTTTAAAAATACAGCAGGTGACCAAGGAATTTCCTCCTGATTTATTTAAAATTTTAAAAGAAATATGTAGTAGCAATAGCAACCAGGTATTATTTGAAGAAGGTTTCTTCCTTTCTTGAGATCTTGGATGGATTGGGGTGTCATGCACACTGTCAAATGGACAACCCAAGAAATGATGCACAAAAAGAACCAGTGTCTGGACAGATTCTCACATTTCTGTGATCATGGTGGACTTTTGCAGCAAAGATGGACTTTAGCAAAGCTGCTTAAAAAAAAAATATTTCCCCAGTCTTTCTGTGGCCTGTTTGGGCCGACAGGGATGGAAGAAGAGGAAAGAGGAGGAGGATCTTGGTAATATTTATTTGACCATGAATTCCTCAAACAATGTCCCCCTTCAAAATCCATCTAGAGGAAATCCTAAATACATTTGTACATTCCAACTAAAGAGTAGATTTAAGACAAGACAATCGGCTTGTCTTAAAAATAATTTTAAAAAACTATTAGAAATGGATAGTTTCAAATCCCAGTTATAAATGTAAGAATCTCTACTTTATGCTTCAGCAACCATTGAAGGAATAGATCAAATTATTTCAATATTTCAATACTGTACTTACAATACTATACAAATTCAATATTTTAATATTCGTGCTATCGTCATTATGGTTGAAAATGAAAACAAAATCACAACTTCCTTCAAAAGGATACCAACAAGCCAGTTGGCCAACACAGATCTCGCTCCAGCACTTTTACAAGAGGACACTTTAATTAAACTTGAACTTTTTTTTATCTTTTCAGGATTATGGAGCTCCATAAGGCTTAGTCTCATTTGGGATTGATATCCAATACCCACCATTTATTCTTGATCAATACTGTTCTAGCTGTACTTTGGACCGAGTTAGGAGAAATGTGTGAAGGTATATCAGGTATGTGTTAGAAACTCTTCCTACTCAGCATTCCTAAAAAGGCTTGAAAAGTTTAAGTAAGTAGATTTGCGTATCAAAAATTATCTGTTAGAAATTTTCTTAAAAACACCCCACGACCTTTATATACATATGTCTACAGTTTAATTCTTGGTCTCATCTTGCTTTAAAAAAAGTTAAAACTCAGATGCCACATGGTTACTTACTTCCCTTTGGAAGTTTGTGTTGTTCTCTGGCATGAGAATTAGAGATTTCAGCCTCTCCGCCTTCAACTCTTATAAAGTATGAAACTAGTATCTCACTTCTCATCCTAAGCTATATAGCAAGAGTATATTGGATTCTGACTTAGCAAGTTATGGGAACCAAGCTTTATGACTTATAAATCATGGGTTATGACAGGAGTCCATAATCAAGGCCTGGATACCATGTGGCTCATGAAAACTTTGGGTGCTCGCTCCATGCAAGGGAAACTAGATTTGATCAGGACAAGGAAGAAAGGAAAGCTCATCTCTTTCCCCATGGGCTTTTTTTTCAAACCATAATTACCATTACTACAGCTACACAGGAAGAATTTTGACTTCAGAAAACTAAAGACACCCTCCTGAGAAAGGATGAAGCATTTCCTCCCCACTCCATTCTGCTCTGATCAAACTGAACTCCTAGCTGCATCTCAGTCATAAGAGCAAGAATATATATCAGAGGGGTTGCTTATATCCCTCTGCTCTGCTTCTTTTGGCACTTCAGAGGTAACTCTAAGTCTTCAATCACAATCTGGATGCTTCCAACCACCTTCTGTGGCTATTACATATTTTTACCCAAAGGTCATGCAGTGCTTTTGCTGCCGTTCAGTGAGAAGGTTCCTGAAATCAAAGCAACAGAAGCGATGGTAGCAATCACCACAGCAGAAAGAGGGAAAGTTGCAGTCTATGCCACGGTGCCAGGAGCCATTTCTGTCTATGTACCACTTGCAGTCTTCATCAGCCGAGACTGAAAGGAGAAAGAAAACACTCCTTTTATCTATTCCATAGAAAACAGAAAGCGGTGAGAAACTCTCTAAGAACACTGTACAGGGACCACCCTGAAATTTCCTACACAACAGCCTCTGGGAGTAGCTTAGGGATCTATAGTCAGAGACCTTCCAGAATTTTGCAAGCTATCATCACATGGTCTTTCACAATAGCAGGGCCATCCCAAAATTTAAAATTAAACTTGAAAAATGTTTGCGAGATTATTAGATCTTACAAAATCATGTAAGCTGTTTTGGCACATTAGGCAAGAATGCCAAAATCTCTTTAACTTCTTGCAAGATTTTGGTTTTCCTGAAATCTCACACAATTTTGTACTGAACGGTGAGTTTTTCCAATTTTTTTAAAAAAGTTTTTATTTAATTATGGGGTTCCACATACATTATTTATGGCTTTCTCATAAATTATACCATTCACAATCCCAGATAGCTGCCACTGGATATAAACATCATCCCCCCCTCTCTCTCTCTCTTTTTAAATATAAAAGCAATATTGCAGAGGTTGGCAATCTAATGATAATGGATATTTTCTTTGGCAGTTGTAAGACTCTCAGGCTTAATATTTTTCTTTTAAAAAGTTTAATAGGAAGCTGCTATATAACAAAGTAAAGTGCCAGCTTCTAGAAATATCAGAATGCCTCAAAGCATAATAGAAATTATAACAGGTATATTTACAATTAAAGTATACCAGGACATAGTTCAGTATTTTCTTAGACAGTGTGGGTATCTGCCTTCTACAAAACAAAAGGAAATGAAAAGCTGGTATAAAAGACAATTTCTTCTAGGGCAGGGGTTCCCAGCTAGGGGTGCTTGTGAGACGATATTCCAGGGGGTGCAAAAACTTGGGTTTAGAAGTTTCAAAATTATAGTGTATATGCATAATTCGTTTTGAACTTTTGTAAGGGGTGTGAGAATATATCAGAAGCGTTCTAGGAGTAAGGGGTATAGAAAAGGTTGGGAACCACTGTTCTAGGGGCTGATCCACATCAATTTTCTCTTCAAGGAAAAGGGTGTATTGGTCATGGCCATCATGGCAACCATGTTGTATAACAAATACAGTATAAACAGCAACATAAATGCTGCTTAAATTTGTAGATTATTGCCACAATGCATTATGTTTATTCTAACAAAATTAAAACAAACTGCGAATTGTATGCAGCATATAGCATATTCAAATATGATATATATGTTCATTGTTGTAATAGGTGTGACTATGTAAATTGTCATCACTATCTAAAGTTGTATTATTTTGTTACATTTTTTTAAAAAATGATACAGAAGATGAATTACATGAAACCTTGTATCATTAAAATAAAGATAAGGGATATATACTCAGCTTGCTGTATTTCTTAGAAATACAGTTGACTAAATGCTGTCAAAAGGGAATAAAAAATATACATATGTTGATCATGTTATGTCAAACTTAGCCAAGCAGAGGAAGATAAAATTAAAAGTCTTGTACTGTCTGGCATACTTAGGTTTGGTCACGCCTCTGGTTTTTTATTACCACCCAGAGTATCGAATGAGTTCATTCCTATGATTTAATCCCCTTCATTTAAACATGTGACCTCCATAGATAGAACACGACCAGCTGTCTTGAGATGACTGGAAATGCTCACCCTGCACTCTAAACATTGCAACCATTTTATCGATTACAGTTACATTATGCCTCTTTTCCAAAAGTTCAAGTGATGTATATAATTCTGACCCTTCACCCATGTCTTTGACAAGAGTATGACACCGATTGCTTTATTGTGCTTGTCATCTTTTATTTTTTATTGATATAATTATAATACTTTTGATTGTTGCAAGCTGCCCAGAGTTATTGAGAGTTGGACAGCCTAGAAGATTAATAAATTATTATTACTACTATGGTGGGTCATGCAGTCAGCCAGTTGTTTAGACTGGTTTTAGCATTCTTATCCTTCCCATGGGCCTGGAATAGGCAGACATTGTTATTTTATAATTTTAAAGTTATTGCTGATGTAAGCTGTTTCAAATAAAGCTGCATTTTGCAATTGACTGATGGTGATTTTGTCAATACCAATGGTGCTCAAATGGTGCTTCAGATATTTTGGGATTGCCACAGTCATTCTATTTTTATTTGCAGGTCTTTATATTTTATGATTTTCTCATATTCTTTCTCTTCTGTTTTGCTATCTGCTATCCAGACTTTTGGCGGGGGGGGGGATTAGTCAATATTTATTAAATCTGGGCTATTATGTGGCAAATGCCTGTCTGCTTGAATTCTAAAGTCCTAGAGGACTTTGGCTTCTTCACTATCTATTACTTTGTCTACTTTGTGGTCCTACCAGTTCTTGCTTGAAGGCAAATGGTATTTCTTGCAGGTATTCCAGTGCATCATTGATGTTACTTTGCCATGCTGTTATTTGTAGTCAGTCTGTGCAATTTTCTGGCAGCCTAAACTAGGTGGTCCACTGTTTCTTCAGCATCTTTGCAGAGGCAACATTTGCTGTCTGTTGCTCTTTTCTCAGTGCTGACTTTGCATGCATTTGGCCTAGTTTTGTGTAGCCAGAATTTGTCTCTTTCTTCAAGTTTCCTGCTCTTAATAATCACCAGGTCTTATTATCTGCTTTGCCTGCTATTTTTGTTTTAAGTAACATTTTGCCTTTCCATATTGCTTTTCTATTCTTCATTGGGTAGGTCTCTCCATTACTCAGTAAGCCTGCACTGGGCCCCAACTTCAGTGCATCCCCTGTAGTATCCTTCATATATTCTCCCAATGCTCTTTTCTCTTCTTAAGTTTTCTGGTATTATTCATTACCCTCCAGACAACCCCACTGTAAATAAGTTTGTTAGGAAAGATTGTCTATTCCAAGAGAATATCATAATTAAATGGATATTTCAATTTGGACATTCCAAATCTGACACAATACAGTACTTTAGCCTATTATATACTATGCTGGATTTTAGCACAGTGATTCTAAACTCCTTGCATAGGATTTGTAATCTTAAAACTAATTTCCCCGCATAGGAAGATATTTTTCTTATAGAGTAAGATAGCTACTCACCACTATACAGCATTTAAAACACAAGAATAACTCTATTCTTTACTTGCTTAGATAAAACAAAATTCAGCCACAAATGTATTACTTATGCTGACTCATGTGAACAATATTATGAACATAAATAGTGTCTTTTTTCAAATATACACATTTGGTTCTACCTCTTCCTCTAATCCATATAAGGTTCTTGATCAACTGGATTAAAGGGCCTCTATAGCAGAGTTTTGCAGACTTGATCTGTTGGAATAAATCATGTTTATGAAATGACTGGTGTTTAGAAGTGAGATGGAAGTATACTGAGGAAACACAAAGTTGCTCCATTCAGTCACTGAACAAGGATAAGCAGGCCTCATATTTCGTTTTCTGTCTTACGTTACCTTTACTTTCTTTGATTCTCTGTTTCTGTAAGAGAAACAGCATTTCTCTCTTTCTGTAGAGAAAAGCTGCAGCCTTCTTTTCCCTGGCACTGGACAACTATAAGAAACAATTAACACACAAATCCTTTAATATTGATTTATTAGTGTTTTTGCCATTTTAAAAGAATGGCAAAATGGAAGAAGGCAGCTCGGGCTCTTTTCCACTGACACAATGAAGAGATGAAACGGCAAGGCAAGAGAAACCTAATCTTCTGACATGTCAACTATCTGGGTTCAGAAAGATGTTAATGCATACTCATCAGGATATTTGTATTTTCTGATTTTCTCCAGTTTTTTTCTCTCTCCCACTTTGCTACTATCCAGATGTCTTCATCTTTTTTATCAACAATTGTTAAGCCCAGGGTGCTGTATGGCAGGTGTTTGTCTTTCAGCCACTAAAACATATACATCCATGTCCATTTGAACCTTAGATGATGAGCTCATGAAACGTAAATGGTTTTTCTTAAATTATTGATTGTTGAAGTTAATTACTTTTTTATATTTTATTCAAGGATATTACCAAGCATGGGAAAGGCTTTCCCATTAGAATAATTAAAATTTCTGACCCTTAATTCTTCAATGCAGTAAAAGCATCTGCTCCTTATTGTATGTAGGACTGTGAAAAACTTTCCTTCCTCTTCAATTATTCTGGAGGAAAATGGGCATTTGCAGGAGGGCTGGATTCCTGCCTGTGTCATATCCTTCCTCTTTGTGATCAGAAAGGGTTTTTTCCAGTCCAGTTTTGTTAACTTCCCTTTTTCATTTTGAATCTTCAGAAATGTATTCAGCCTGAATAAACAGTTTGATAAATGTGCAATCTTCTGCAAGTAAAATTATTCCATGATTGATAGCCAGCATGCCCAACATTGTTATGATGTTAGGCTTAATTATAGAGACCCAGATTCCTCAATTAATAATGGAGCTCAACAGGTAATCTTGAGCCAATGATTCTCTCTCAAGCAAACATAACTCACAGGATTGTTTCCAAAAACCTTAAACTCTCAAAAAAGGCAAGTTATAAACATAACGGTAAGTTAAGAAATGCAACAATAAGATGTCCAGGATTTTTTCTAGCATGACCACAGCCTATATCTGCTAGAAATCATGAGAATTAAAATTAAAATCATCTAGAATACATGAAGCTAGGAAAGGCTGGGCTAAATAGTTTAATTATTGCTTTGATTATAGTAGTACTGTAAGTACTATTTGCGGACTCACAATAAGTTTAGAATCCTTTAGCTCCACTTCTCTAAGTTAGCGCCCTCGACTCCTATGATCCCTAGCCAGAACATCCATTAGCTATTGTATTAGTTGGATGTACTACCTGGAAATTAAAATTGAATTATACAAGACACAGAAATGAAACATTGCATAGCCTGTCTCAACAATTTTTTAGAATATAAAGCCACTATCAAAAGGCCAAGAAACTAACTACCATGATAAAATATCATTTACAGAGTTTGCAGATACAGCATACCCATTACAAGCAGGGCCTCAATGAAGAAACACCCTCAGGTTGTG